GTGACAGGGAAAGAAATCATTTTAACCATCAAAAAAAATCTGAGAAACTTTTAGAGGTTTCTTTTCAAAAGTAGGTAGAAACCCAGTTAATATTTACAGTTCCTGAGTACATGTGCAGTTGAGAGCTATCTCCTTTTACACATGAATATTTCTCTTACTTCAATTACCAGTGGTACCACTAATAATGTTTTAGGATGCTATTGCTGGGTGAGGGTCTAGGAATACCTGAGTTATACCTGTTATAGTCTTTTTCCTCCAAGGTCCCAAAGGAAAACAGACACTGGACAGTAGTTGAGAAAATACCAAAGCTAGATAGTTCCTCTTTGTCTCAGTTTCTTCTTCTGTAAAGTATGTGTAATAATAGTTTCTACTCCATAGTGTTGTTGGAAGTTCTGCATAAGTTAATACATATAAGGCATCAAAAGCTAAGTGTCTCTGTTGCCTCCCTGTTTTTTGAAGCAATAATGATGTAATGATCACAAACATGGCTTCTGGAGCTAGACTTCCTGTATTCAAATTCTCTTCCCATCACGAACTAGATGGCTGACCTTGGGCAAGTCATTTAACCTTTCTGCACTAAAAAAAAAAAAAAGAAAGAAAAAGTATATCTAGCAGGGTATTGTATAAAATAAATTAATTAATGCAAATACTCGGAACAGTACCTGGCATACTCTAAGTACTCAATAACTAATTGCTGTTGATTCATTACCACTACTACTGCTACTATTCCTTATTTATTAGTGTGGCCTTGGCGCCCAAATCCTAATGCAGTATTCTAAAGAATTAGGCTGAGTCACATAAAGGTCTCCTTTCCCTGTGCCAGGAAAACCTAAGAAGCCATCATCCAAATTGGCCAGGATCTGCTTTGCCTGTTTTTTCCTGAATCTAAATATATATATATATTTAAGTTACTTTTTATTGGAGTAGAGTTGCTTTACAATGTTGTGTTAGTTTCAATCCAAATCTGACTTCTCAGCTCTTACACTAATGTCGACCTTCAGGGGACAAAAGAAATACATCAAGTAAGACCAACACCAAAAATGTTTGCCTCAGTGCCTAGAAAGAGCCTGTCCTGGGCCACATATAACTGTGGCAACAGCCCTGAGACAGACTGAATGTGGAAAGAGTCCAAAGAGAGAGTGTGAACAAGAAAGAAATGAAGGCAGGTCCACCTAGGAGTGGGTCCTGGTCCACTTTAGCAATCCAACCAAAAAGACATAAGGGAAAAAGATGGCTACTGGCCAATCGGTGTTTTTCCAGGCTTGTTAGAGAAAGAACGACTTGAAGAGGCCACACTTCAGTCCTTGCCAACTTTAACATGGCCAACCAAATGTCTTTGGAGTTGAAGTGACCTTATTCAACCGTGCGAAAGAGCACGGCCAAGGATGGAAATCAAAGGGTATGTTCAGACATCCTTTAAAGACCAACTGAGCAAATATCAACTGCCTATAGTCATCTCAACAGAACCAATTTACCTAATGAACAAGCCTAATTCATTGAGAGCTAAAGCATGGAACATCAACTTGCTGAATGAACAATTCATGGAAAACTGACAAACCAGTGTTTTATACCAGTTGTAAGGACTGTTTGCTGCTACTAAAGGCAGAGCCCAGGCAGAGTTTGGGCCAGGTCGGGCCACTAAGGTAAACTACAGAAAATGTGGGAGCTGGCCTCAGATGTCAGTGGCTGCCTTGTAGGATATGAACCCAAAACTTCTAAGTTTTCAAATGAAAGCTGGATTTTTATGTGAATTGTGCTAACATTTGCATTTTGACAAACGCTTAAAATTAAAAACAAAAACAAAACAAACCCTGTGCAGACCAAATGCACCCTATATGCGGGCATTACACCCACTGTGTGCCCGCAGTCTGCAGTCTCTGCTGTACGCATTGTCCACTAAACACTCATGCTTTTAGGTTGTTGAGCGTGGCCCCAAAGCTTCACAGTATATAGTAATTTGTAATCTTGTTGAGGAACAAATTTGTATCCCACATGCTCCAAGGTTGACTTCTGAATGTTATTTACTTCACTAGTGAGTATGCTTTGCTCTCTGCCCAGTTTCTAGATTTCAGTATGGTTTTGGGAGTTTTTTAAACCAAGCTTGAATTCATAGCACCACTCATAAAACAAATAAAGCTTTTTTCTTTAAAAAAGGGCTGTGGGAATCAGGCAAGGGAGCAGATTTCTAGATAGAAATGAAGAGAAGTTGAAAAGGTCTACTTTAACTAGAAAATTTAACTAGGAAATAGAGATTTGGAAGTTTGATGTAGAATTCAGCAAGGGTAACAATAGGAATTTTGAGTGGAAACAATCAGCATTGTTTTCAGACCGTGGTAGCAAGAATTAGGCAAGAAGGATATGAAGAGATCGCTGAAAATTTTTGGTTATACTTTACTTCATTTTAAGAGGAAATTGATGTGCTATACAGTATTTTTGAAATATTAACTTTTCACTTAAAATTTTAATTAAATATTTTTGAGAGATGAGAAATATCAAGAAATTGTGTGATGCTTTATAAGTTAGCCTAAATTCTTTTTGATGTTTAGATTCCTTATAGCTGCTAAGAGCAGTGACTGTCTGCCCTTTTGTTTTGCTATTTACTTTCATATTTCTAGTACAGTGTTCGGCTCAGAGGAAGTTCTTAATAAACTGAATACTTTGAATTATTTAAATGTGTCTCCAGTTTCAAACATTTATGGCTTAAATATGTATTTCTTTCTATCAATTCTAGAAATTGTGTGTATGCCTTGGGTAGTGAAGGGGGGCATGCTTCAGACTTAGAGGAATATAAAACATACTGTTTTTTAACTCCCAAACAATGCAGTCCATAATATGAAATTCCTCTTTCTCTGCATATTCTTATCTTCTTAAAATATTTAGTTGTGTATATTATAACAGGAAGTTTCCTCTAGGGCTTTAGTGTTTCCTGGGCTAGAAGTAATATCGAATGAAAATAGTCTCTGTGTTTTCCCTTTTGAATCCATATCTAAGGTTTTGGCTGAAAATGCCAGGTGCACATTTAACATAAAGTATTGGAATCATCATAGAGTATTAGGTTTTGGCCATTGGAATCTGCTTGTAGTTTCCTTCAAAGTGAGAGTGCATGGGACAGGGTAGACCCTTGACACCTAAGGCCTGATGGCTATTACCTGGATGAGATCTCTCCCAATCCCCAATCACCAACATCATTTCTCCATGTTCTTTTGAACTGTTGTGCTATCTTCCAGCATCTTGAGATACATCAAGCAAACAGAGAAGCTCTAGGACAGGAGCTCAGTTAACTTGAGTTCAGTTGTCTGGATCCTTTTGTTTGGCAGAGAGGTTTCCCTTCCAGCAACAGGACAACTATAGAGGGACCAATAGCTCAGACAGCACAGGACTTGTCAAATGGAAAAGGACTTGATTAGTGCAGAGTGAAATTTCATTCTTAATTGTCATAGATATTCTTCCTCATCAACTTTTTTTTTTCCTGTATAATTCTTCTTTGAAAGCATTATGGTCTCAAGTGAGAAATTCTAGGAAATTTTTAAAAGATAGAATTTGGAGGCATTGGATATTTTCTAGCTTTTTGAAGCCACTAATAATGCAGGAACTGACTTGTGAGGTCTGGCATAAATAGTTACTTGAAGGAACATTTATCTTAGTATTGATCAACAAAAGATGCCATGTGTACAGCAATTGCTTCATTTTCTAAACCGGATTTCCATCCAAACTGGAGAACATTTCCCAGGTAGTACCAATTCTTTTATATATTACTTAGTGTTCTTTTTCTGTTTTTTTTTTTTTTCTTGAGATAGATATTTCTATATTGTTTCTGAAGTAATGTGTTTACTACCCTATCATTAGCTAGTTATTCATTCATGCATTTAACAAATATTTCTAAAGCATCAATTATATGCAAGGTAAGCTGATACAAATTTATGTAAATAGATCAAAAAGAATAAGGGAAAATAAACCCATATATAGCCACATAAATGTTAATTTTTAAGTATTCAATTACTTATGCGAGAATGTACTCTGCTGAGATTATTTTGGCAAGTAACTATGCTTTATTGGCAAAGAACTTTGTTCTTGGTGAAATAGATGAAATATCTCTTTAGTCTGTGTTATACTCTGTATTTTAGAGTCAACTCTGTCTATAACTAGAACACAAATTCCTTTTAGACTAAACCTATCTTAAATTTTTCATTAAATTTTATTTTCTACCTAACATAACTTTTTCTTTGTAAGAAAACCTATAAGAGCATTTTTTTAAATTAATTTATTTAATTTATTTATTTTTGGCTGTGTTGGGTCTTCGTTGCTGCGTGCAGGCTTTTCTCTAGTTGCGGCGAGCAGGGGCTACTCTTCTTTGTGGTGTGCGGGCTTCTCATTGCAGTGGCTTCTCTTGTTGCGGAGCATGGGCTCTAGAGTGCAGGCTCAGTAGTCGTGGCACACGGGCTTAGTTGCTCCACGGCATGTGGGATCTTCCCAGACCAGGGCTCGAACCCGTGTACCCTGCATTGGCAGGCGGATTCTTAACCACTGCACCACCAGGGAAGCCCCTTAAGAGCATTTTTTGATTTTCAAGATCTATGAAAAGTAATGGTAATATGGAGGCCCAGAACAAAATGTTCGATGTTTTGACTTCATATCGTTATAACTCTAGCATCTCTTAAAAGACTTTATAATTTTCTTTCCTCCCAATCTCCAATTAAGATTTTATAAATTTATAAAATTAGTGATTTGAAACATTCTAATTTTAGTCTTTTAAAGGAATTTTATGATATAACTTAAGATAATTGGATTTTCCCTAGGATACAATATTAAAGTGTTATTTCTGCTTAATTAGAAAAGGTGAATTTTAGTTACTTTGAATATATACTTTTAAGTATATTCAGAATCACTGTTACTTGTGTTTTAGGATTTAAATAATTACATTCTTTAATCTGAAGAAGTAAATGGTGCCTTTAAAAATCTGATAAGAAATTGTTTGTTTTTCCATACTCTTTTGCTGTTAGGTGATTTGGGCTCTTGGGATCTGCTCGTTTGCCTGTCTTCTGGGAAAGCTGATGGAAAACCTTGCATATCCAAGGAAGACATGTGCCAGTTAGGTTTACATCAAAAGGTAAACATTCTTTTGCAAAATGTGCACAGATTTTATCAGATCTATGAACCAGTACTTCCTGGTCCATAATGAAAAAAAGAATACTGAAAAACTGGAACCGTTGAATCTTTGGAGAAAATTTCAATGGCCATGCCTTATACACTTTACCATAAATTTTCACCATTTGGGTTTGATAAGATCCCCTTCAACTTCAGCTGCTACCAATAAGGATCCAGTTTTAGCTAGTGGGACCCAAAACTTGACATTGAAATACATAGCCCATGGAGTGTTGCTTACCCTGGCCACCTGTTCATCCAAAGTAGTAAAAATTTTATTTACTAGATCCCTATTTTGACTTTTCAAACTTAAATTGATATCCTGAATTATAACAAACCTATATAGTTTTTATTAACTTTTAAAATTGACATCCTATATCTACTATCGTGTGTAAACTTTTATAAATGCTTCTAGAAAAATTAACTAAAAATTATCAGATGCCTACAATGTGCTAGTCACTGTGCTGGAAAATTTGTATATGCTCTATTTTTGGTAACTTTAACAAATCTGTGAGAAAAGTGTCAAAGCCAATAGCTATTTTTCAGTAGTAAAAGAGTACTATAGTAGCTACCGTGATCATTTGATATTTCTGCAATTGACAGTTGTGATCACTCCTTCCTTCTAACTCTTTCCTTCCTTGACCTTTAGACTGAGCACATTCTTTCGCTTCTTCTTGTACATCTTTGGCCATCCTTTCTGTGTCCTTCAGAGCCACCTTTTCTCTGTCCGTTCTTTAAATGCCTCTGTTCCCCAGCACCACCCCTAACGTTTCACCTACCATTTGTAGTTGATGACTCCCAAATCTACATCTAAAGTTCAAAGCAGTTTCCCATGCTTCAGGCTTGCGTGTGTAACTACCCACTGAGCATTTCCACTTAGATGTCACATAGGACCTCAGACTCAACGTAGAGAAAATGAATTCGTTATTTTCCCTGGTAAACTCACTTCTGTGCTTGCATTTAGAAGCTCTGCAGAATTGCTCTGCTGGTCATGAGCGTGATTAACCACTCTGTCACTTCCTAAGATAGAAATCTGACCTTCACCTTTGAGCCCTTCCTCTCTCTTGTCATCTGCATTCTGTCAATCATGAATACTAAGGAATGTAACTTCTAAATAGTTCTCAAATATCTTACCTACTCTCCATACTTACTGCCTTTATTCTGATCAGACAGTCACCATGTATAACCAGGACAATTGCTGAATCCTCCTCAATGATTTTTCTGAAGCAAGTGTTTTGCCCCTGAAATCCATTGGGCTCTCAGTTATCAGAGTGAAAAATGTAAAATGCTGAATTAACCTGGTTACTCCTGTGCTTAAAATCTTGCATGGCTTCCCATCAGCTACAGGATAAAGTCGACAATATTTGCTGTGTGTATCAGTCAACCTCCCAGCAGGAAACAAATGCCATACACCAAACGATTTAACTGAAGAGAAACTAATGAAAGAGCTATTTACAGAGCTTTTGGCAGGATAAGAGAAACAAAAAAGATTAGAGGCACCCAGGGACCAGCAACATCATAAGGTTTTACCACCCTTGGTCTGAAGAAGGGTGTGTACAATAGAAGGAATTGTATAGCAAAACCAAATAAGAGCCGGAGCCAAGAAAGAGGGATCCGTGGAAAGGAGCTATAAACATAGGGGAATGTAGCCATTGCCAAATCATAGCCCTGCAGAGAGGAAGCCAGGAAGATAAGTATTCAGCCTCTCTCTAGTCCCACCTTCCAATCTCTTGCCAAGGCCTCCTCCTGAGAACAATTCTAAGTGCTTACATATTTGTTTATATACATTCTTTACATATGAAGAGACTGAAGCACAGAGACATTAAGAAAATTACTTAAGTCCTCCTAGCTAATAAATGAAGCATCTAGGATTCAAACTCTGCAAGTCTGACTTTAAATTCTGTGTTCTTAACCATATCACTATAGAGCCTTTCTAAATAAATATTTAGCTGCTGCACTTAAAACCTATTCTAATGAATATTCTTAAAGAATACGCAAATTCTAAATGATACATTTAGATAACTGTCACTTTGGAGCATGAATAATTTGAAGTTTTGTGAACCATGACTTATTTATGTAAACATAAATATTCAAAACAGAAGTTGCTTCAGATCTGTTGGGTATGTGTTAGGATTGTTAATGACCTTAGAATGAACAAAGAAAGGGCACCTGCTTGGATGAGGATTACTCACCTCTTCAGAGCTTTGGAATTTAAGTGCTTAATGAAAATGATCTTAAGGTCTGTTATAGATGATGAATGACCAGGAGTCTCTCTAGCCAGGAGGAAAGTAACAAGGAATTTAAAACTGTATTGGTCTGTGTGATGCTGAAAGTGAAGCAAGGTCCACTATTTGGGGTGACACTAAGTTTAGTAAGTGGGGCTCTATCTCACCTCTAACAGATCCTGGTATTTCAAGAGCAGAGAAATTCGTTTCTAGTTCTGAATGTTTGTAGGATTAGCAGTCCCTGAATCTGGGATGCTGTTTTTAGTACTTGGAGCACTGAGAACTACTGAAATGGCTCTTATTTTACAGCGTGCTAGGACATTTTCAGGTGACCGTGATGGAGTGATAATTACCTGGGAGAGACATGGATGTTAATAAGACTTTTTTCTTTGATTTTCTTTTTTCTTTGATTAGCTGGTTCCCTTCTTGCCATTAATTCTCTTCATTATGGATGATACGGAACAGATTTCAGAGAAGGTCTGATAAAAGATGTGAACATCTGTACAGATCTAATGAAGAAAAAGGACAGTTCCCTAAGATACAATGTGACATGTGTGTCACTCTCAATGTTCATGAGTGACCAAAAAAATTTTTTTCCCTGGGTGCTTTCTTACACTTTATATAAATAGCTCATCTCAAATGTCTACTTTCCTTAATGAGTTAATGGTATTACTGTAGTTTTAGTTTTTTTGAGTTATAAACACTTTCTGAATGTTTATAATTAACATCATACTGTTGCTCTTATTAATGAAATATGTCTCACAATAAGAATGATTTTTTTTTTCCCTTTTGCTTCTGACGGTATGTAATGAAAACAATTTAGATTACCACAGAGTAGGAAATATTTTTAAATGCACATTTCCTTTCTCCCAGTTTGATCTCAGAAATATTCTAGGGCCCAAATGTCATTATTATTTTTTTATATGCATTCTAATCCTTTCAAAGATACAGAAACTTCTGTGCCAAGAAAAACAGATGTCTATATAAAATATACACGTGCACACTTGCACACACACACACACACACACACACACAAACACACACACATAAAGCATTCAAACCCAGTACAAAATCGGTATATATTAAAAATGACTGTTGGGGTGGTAATGATGTGTCAGTGTAGCTTCATCAGTTGTAACAGATGTACCACTCTGGGGGAGATGTTGATAATGGGGGAGGCTGTGTGTGGGTCGGGGGGGAGTGGGTATATGGGAAATCTCTGTACCTTCTGTTCAATTTTGCTGTGAACTTAAATTCTATTAAAAATAATTATTGCAGTATTAAGCTGGAGAAGCTCATCGTATAGAAGTCAGCTAATCCCAGTGAAAACTTCTTTATGTTCCACTTGATAATGATGCAAATCTTATATATTTTATGATATACATAAAAATAATAAAAAGCACTAGGATATTGAAGAACATTATTAGGTTTAACAATTAAAAAGTTAATTAAGAAAGTTAATACGTGTAATAAAGTTGATTTAGCACAGCCTGTAGGACCCACAGCCTTGTATGTGTTTATTTTTTTGTGCCAAGTTGTTTAGTTTAACTGCTTAGCTTGGTGCTCAGTTCCAGAGTAGAACAGAGACGATATTTCTAGTGTCACGTGTCACCATGGTCATGTCATCTTCTTCTACTCTGAATTCCAATGATGTGCTTTGGAGGAAAGAGCAGTGGAAGAAGTTACTGGGTAGGGGATGGGAAAGTGAGAGCAGCTGCTTCCTTCCGCTTGGCTCTGGTTTTTTGAAGCAAATGCTTTGTTGACCCTGAGTCAGTTCATCGTTGTGACCCAAGGTCTCATGTGAAAAGTCATCTCTCTGATATGACACAACAACTACCCTTGTATCTGAAATCTGTGCAAGCTGTACTCTGTCTTTGCAGCATTTACACACATTCTTCTGGCCCGTTAGTTCAGTTACTGTTATCCATTTAACCAGGGCTCCGCTAGTCCTTTCAGTTTGTAGAGGTCAGGATGGCATACCAGGGATGCTCTAAATGTCTGCAAGGCCGGCATGTTTACTCTGAGCCCTTCAAGAAGTGGGAGAGGGTTTTCAATAGGACCTGTGTCCATACACAGCCTTCACTACTACTTACCTAATGCTGTTTCTTTTTCTTGGCCCTTCTATCCGTTAAAGATTCTATTTAGTCAATAGCAACTGAGTGATTTTTTTTTCTTAAGTGGAGGAAAATGGTTCAAGTTTATTGACTTTTAAACCTTTTCACAATCTAATTTAGAAAGGTTCTTTGTGTGTTAACAATAACAGCAAAAGCCCCAAGCCTCTAGGATGGGTTCCCCAGACCTTTGCAATCATGCTCTGTCCCTCCCTCCAGATTTTCATAGGCTGAACTGAAAACTTCAGGACTTTATGAAAGCCCTTCTTCTTTTCCTACATTTAGACTCTAAAACTGATCACTTTTGAATTTGAGAAATGTAGACATCCCTAAAATCTAAAGTGTACTATACACTTTTCTCAATTCTCATATTCACAAGAGCGGATTCTGCTGAAGGCCGGGCTTTATTTATGCATGACCTGGGCTGAAGTTTACAGTTTGCTGAATAAACGGTAGAGTTAACAAGATTGCAAGGGTTAGAGAACTTTTAAACGATGAACTGTTTCAAAGCACTTTAAATGAATCCTTTTTTAAAAACTACAGCTTATGACTGAATTATTGAATTGATCAAAGCTTAGAGCGGAAGTGGTATTTAGAGACCCAAGGCTCTATTTTACAAATGGAGAAATTGAAAAGAAGTAAAGTGAAGGGCTCAAGATTCTGATTTTGTTACATGCCAGAAGTGGGACTACAACCCATGTCTCCGGTTCCCTCTTTTCTCCAGCTGCAGCTGAGTTCTTTTTATCCAATCAGGCCAGCCAGCCACAGTAAAGAAACTCTAATAAGTTTTTAGGGTAGAGTGAATTAATTTGAAAGTAATCAATAATTGCTCAAAAATGAATCTGATTTTCAAGCTGATTTACACTGACTCTTTCTGTTGGTTTTAACGAGGCGTTACCATGTTTGGCATTATTTGGGGGATTTAGCTGAGAATAGCTAATCTGTCAATTCAGAAGAGGAGGGAATTAAGCTTGCTTGTATCTTTTCTTTAAAAATTAAAAGATATGTTTGAATTTATGAAAACATTTATGAAGCTTTCTATGAACAAATTTTTGTTAAAATATAGTTTTGTGGTGACTGGGTTTTATACTCTAAAGCAATAAATACCCTTCAGTATGAAGTGAAAACTATAAATGCTAACAGGTTTAGCATTGAATTACCACTAGATGTCCGTGATTCAAATCATTGAGGGCCTTTGGAACTTGGGAGTGTAGTTGACTTTGAGGAATGTTTAGTACTATTTTTTGCCAAAGCAAAATGTGCAACTATCAAGTTAGTAGTGTTACTCTATTTACCATAATGATATAAATTATTTTCTTATTTTTTCTAGCAAATATCATGGCTTTGAAATATATCAAGGTTTTAACAAGTATTCCCAAATATTTTGAAGATTTCTCAGGGCATGTTTTTATTTTATGTTATCTAATAAACCACTCTATTATTTTGGATTTTAATGTTGACTTACAGAGATTTGAAAGTAGGAGGTGGATGGTGTAGACAATGCTTCACATCTGTACCCTGTAGGCTGTTTGTATTTTCTTCGCTTTAGCAGAGAATGCCTAACTCACTAGAATCTTTTTTATTCCTTTCAGGTAAACATATTACCAGAAATACAACATCAGCTTTGCAGAAAGGAAGGATTATGTCAACTAATTAGAAGATTTCCAGGTAATCTTTCATTTGCTTCCTTATGCATAAACCTGTGAGATATATAGGCTTCCTCAGCAGACACCGACTAAGGAGCTCTCAGATCAGCATACTAAGCTCCTTTGTTTATCAATTCCATTATCACACATCTTCCAGAATCCACAAGGTTTTGCCAATGGGAGGACCTTGATAATAAGGAATAACACAAAACATTGATATTCTTTCTTTTAGATTTGCCTTCTAACTTTCTAGATGAATATTCCTTTTCTTCCTATGTATTTGTCTTCAAAATAATTGCTGCTTCATATTTAAAACAATTATTATAGTACTTCTTAATTATATAAAACTTGAGGTTTTAAAAAAATGTATTTCTTTATGTTAAGTGATTCTGATCTTAACAATTTTGTTTCTTCTTTCTGAAGTTCTCTCAATTTGTCTTGACAACTTTAGAAATTTGGGACAAAAATTACCATCTCACTTCCTCGTAGAATCCCAGAGTGGAAAAAACACATCAGATGGCATATGAGTCTTCATAGATGAAATTATAGCCTACTTGAAAACCCATCAGTGAAAGAGTTCCTCACATTTCTAGTTTAAAACCCACTTAATGTTTAATAGTTATGCCCCTAGAAAGTATTGCACTATATAATTAAAATTTAAATCCACATAATTTAAATTATGTTTTAAAAAATTAATTTGTATCTGAGTTGAATCAGAAAACTGGTATCTTAACCCATCAGCTTTTCCATGGGGTTTCTGCTTCTACATCAAACATTAACCACATTGGCATATCCCATTACAAAGACTACAGTCTTCTATTGTCATTTACCAAGGATTAAAATAAAATAAATATAAATCAGCAAATAATCTTTCAATTTAAGATAGTTGTTTAAAATAAATAATAGCTGTATAAACCTGGTTCTGCAGTTATCATTTTATATGACAGGTGTATCTGACTCCCTAATCTGTTTATTTTGTTTTTGTAAACTTTAGCTGGATAGTTTTTTATTTTATAAAAAAATAAGTAATGTTTTCGTGAGAAGCAAGTAAAATATTCCCATTAATGCATTATTAATAAGTATCTAGAAATCCTTTAATTAAGGCAATTTGAAAAACATTTGTTTGTGTTTTGACCAGAACTTACATACTTTTAAAGTGTGTTTTTCTTTGTTGCTGTTTACATTTCAAAATGATTGATTAGCACTGGAGTTAGCAGAATAGAATCATAATAATGAAAACCTGTTTGTAGCCAGAAATGGATTACCAGTTTTAAAAAATTCCCCAAACAACTCTTACCTAAGTTTATATTTTGCTTCCATAAAGTTAAAAAGTTTTTTTTTCTTTTTTGCTTTAAGCATTTTTTTTTCTCAAGAACATCTGTAAGTTCCAGACACATGTAGTCCTTTCCCCACTCTGTCTAGTTTGTAATTTTCTATTTATCTCTGTGACTAACAAGGTAATTTCATGGAATATACGGCCTTTTTAATCGAATTATTTCTCCTGTAATGTTATCTTTCTGTAGCTGAAGATAATTTTCTTAGATGTGTAGCTTTAAAGCAATATGTCTACAACATTGTTTTCTGATATAAGCTTTATAAACAATAGCTGATGTTGGAGACTCTGGCTATGAATATACATTATACATTATACACTATAAAACCAGTATTCACAAGATTAAAAAACATGTTATTTGTTGTGAATGCTGAATATTTAATATTGAATACAGATTAGATAGCATCATGCTGGTGCCTAAAGTTATTTTTATTTTTATTTTTTTTAATAATACACAATGTATTTATTTATTTATTTATTTATGGCTGTGTTGGGTCTTCATTTCTGTGCATGGGCTTTCTCTAGTTGTGGCAAGTGGGGGTCACTCTTCATCGCGGTGCGCAGGCCTCTCACTATCGCGGCCTCTGTTGTTGCGGAGCACAGGCTCCAGACGCGCAGGCTCAGTAATTGTGGCTCACGGGCCCAGTTGCTCCATGGCATGTGGGATCTTCCCAGACCAGGGCTCGAACCCGTGTCGTCTGCATTGGCAGGCAGATTCTCAACCACTGCGCCACCAGGGAAGCCCTAAAGTTATTTTTAAAAGTAAGGTATTATTAAAAAGATAGTAAAACTAAACATAATACTATATACTTTATCCATTTTATTTAAAGCCAAAGTGGCCCATGCTGTTTTGAGCTGTGTTTCATTTAGAGACAGGCAAAACACAAATTTTGAAACCAGAGATTTTAGCTCCTCCGCCTATTAGCTGTTTGAGTTAAATTTGGGGTTTGTTGGTTTTTGTTTTTGTTTTTGTTTTTTAATCTATATAGTGAGTAGAGTGAGACCCATTTCACAGATTTAATTTAAAAAATAAAGTGTAGCTACAGGTATGTCTGTGTGTGTGTATAATTTTATTTGAAGAATGAATCATATTACAATATATATGTATTATGTATCTCCAAAATGGTAACTGGATGATCCTAGATTTGAAAAGTCCAGTAACAGGCCTTTCAATATTTTCTCTCTTCATATGATTGATTATCACTACAGTTTTATGTTTCTGTCAAAAACTGTGAAGAGTCTGAGATTTCACCTACTTTCAAGCTCACAAGTCTGCCTGCCACAGTTTCATGGGAGCTGGCAGAAGACAGGAGACTCCTGGGTCAGAGACAAATGACTTTGTTGTTTGTAGCAATAGCAGCAGACAGATTAATAGCATTTACACTGGTTCACTGAATCCCACCTCCCGCAGGGCAAGTGAAGAGGGCTAGGAGGTGACACTTGTATACTAAGTGGTTTGCATTTCAAGAGCAGAACTCTGACCTTAGGGAGTCTGAATGTTCCTAATGGTCAGTGAGTATGCCTGCCCTTTGCCTCAGAGAGAGACATTATTTTTGTTACACTGGACAAAAACTTCTCTTTGCTCTGGAGTGAGACACTGTCTCTATCTTTCAAGGCTATCTGCTGCATAAATATCTTTGAAAAGATAGTTCAGAACAGATTGTCAGTGCCTCTGTTTGCAAACGATGCAAAAATGTGAAAGATGCATGGAGAAGTATCTCCTAACCATTTCAGAGAAGAATACCTGACAGGTTTTAGCTCTGAAGCTTAAACAATGTATAATTCAGAGCGAGATTTAAAGCCTGGTTGTGCTCCAGTTTTTTTTTATCTATAAAAATAAGACATTTGGCAGTGATCAGTAATGGTGAGATTTCATGATTCCACAGTGCCTTTTTCCCATACAGACGTGCTCTCCCAGGCTTTATCTTGAGCAGTAGGTAGAGACAAGGATGCTATGAAAGGAGGGATGATCATCCTAGTAAATCTGAGTGGGACCTTGCAAGTGTGGCAGCACAAGCAGAGTTTGGGCCAGATATATATGGGAGCGTTTGAAGACAGAGTGTAAGACTAAGACAGTCTGTTCCGTTCCCCAACCACACAGAGTGTACCTGCCATTAGACTTGGGACTCACATTGAAAGGCACAAATCTGTGGAATTTTTACTGGCTAGCACAAAGGTTTATTTTTATCTTGCCATTTAATGCTTTGGTGTTTGAAATCAAATGTTTTCATTGGCCCAAACTTTTTGCTAATGGTTTTTGTTGCTTTTTATTGTTTGGTTTTTTTGATAAAAAGTTTTTTTCCCCTATATTTGAAATATAAGTACAAAATGAAACATCACGGAAACTGTTTTACTTGGGTTGTTTTTGTTCTCCTTTATGATATCCAAGAAGCCCTGGGTAGGAGTGTGCCAAAGTTTTGGCTATTACTCATTCTTTCCAGTAGTTTTATCTTAGTTCTGAGCACTGGCTTTTACGTGAAATTTGAAATGTACCCAGACTTGTACTCAAAGATAGCATTTTGAACATTTTAGGATCTCTGGCCTCATCTTTTTAGTAACGTGAGTACACACACACAAAAAAGGAAAATGGTAAATAGAATTTACACATTCTGTTGTATCGAAACAAGTGTAGACTTTAAAATATTATAGATATTTACTACCAAATATAAAATATATCTTTAAATAACATAATTGAACTTATTTTAAAATATTGACCAATAATAGCTTTTATCTCACGTGGAACTGATGATTGTTTTTAAAATTCTAGGCCTAAAAAATTCTGTTTCTCATATGATATCATTGAAGTATTGTCAGGGAATCAAATAGCCTAGTTTGAATTTAAACAAAGCAACATGGAAATTGTCAATGCTTAATACCATTTGAGGATTTTTATTGATTTCATTTTTTCCTCTCCTCTGCTCTAAGGAATGTACTCCTTCAAACAAGAATGTGAGAAATGAGATTCCCAGTGTTAAAGGAAACTGGGGACTTACCTCTACGAGGCAATCAGGCAAAAACTTTCACAGAAGACCAGAGTTGCTTATTCTCTGTGCTCTCAAATGCTGACACCCCCTCTATGTGTCCTCTGAATGCTCCTTCATGCTTATATCTTTCCGAAGTCTTCCACCTCTGTCCCACACATGATTATATCCTTTGTGCAAAACATTCTTTCCCCAAGTAAAACTCTCATCTTTTTAGTATGACTGACTTCAGCTAGGTAATAGCAGCAAGTAAGTTGATGGAACTAATTCAGACGAAATTACACCCTCACCCCAGTCATAAGCCTCTTAGATGTATTTGCATTTTTATAAAAGAAGCTTGCAAACCCAATGAATTTCTAATTGGTAGAATTTCTGGAAGCGCATTCAAATTCCCACTCAATTCTTCCAGTCCATTATCGAGACTATAGCCAGAGTGATCTTTTCCTCCATCTCTTTCAGAAATAAAACAAGTCTATTGGGCAGTTTGTCTAGGGACTAAAGAGTGAGGCCCAGGTAACTAGCCATCTGATGCTCTGACTCGAGCTGGGGATAGATTTTTAACTAGATCAGAAGTCACACCCAAATGTTTACAAGAGCCTGGCACGTGACATAAATAATTCGTAACAAATACAGAAGCTTGAGAGACCAAATAATCCGCACATTTTCAGTATTTGGCTTGTCCTCAAATGCATAGACTCATTAACATAA